AGATTTGAACTTTCGGGTTTATTCAAACTATGTTCGATTTTTCGCAAATTGGGATGGTTTTAGTTTTGCTTTAAATTGAAATATTTTTACAACTCATAGTATATAAAAATTTAAGCAGCTAATGTGTTGTACTTTTGAGATCAAATATTAAAGCCATTAAATTGTTTTAACAGCAGTAAGTAAACTTATTTTGACCCCGATCTTTCTTCAACTTAACCCTTTAGGATAAAAAATAAAACTTTGATGTTATGCTTGCTTAAAGGGTCTTCGACCATTTACGCACTTCTTCTTAAGCAGTTTCTATGTTCTTAGATAAACGCTACCATCAAAGAGTCATCCAACTAAGGCCAAGCGGATGACGTGGCGGAGTTCAAAGACGTAATACATGCCTATAATGTGTCCGGACACCATCGCTAATCGTACCTCCATCAAGGAATGCTAGGATATGCCGACCTCCTCCAATCCCCTGTGGGACATGTGTCGCTCTTGATGGAAAGTTAGCGTACAAGGCACGCCAATAGCCAACATATCACCGCAGCACAACAGGTGGACAGGTGTGTGGCTTCCCCATTCCTTCCTTCCTTCCTTCCTACATTGTCCCCCCCATCCAGTGTGTGCCTTCCTCCACGTGCCACGAGTGGTGATGGTGGTCGAGTTGTGAGGGTAGGGCTGGACTAGGGAGGGGAGGGCAGATGATTGTAGTTGACGCGAATTCCACACACTGATGGTGGAATGGGAACTGTCAAGATGGCGTTTTTTGGTAGCTAATTCACAAAAAATCATTGTTCTCTGTCATTGTTTTTCAGACCAGTGGTCGTCACACTCGTGCGATTCTTTTACGAAATGAGCGCAATGAAGAAAAGCGAAACTTGCAAATCCCGCCATAATTTAGATTTTAAAATGGCACGAATTTAATTTGAATGTTATATTTTGTGCATAAACACTAGGCACTGACAATAATAATTACAATGTGGGAATGGAGAATAACTAAGCATGTAACGAGGTTCTATTCCGGACGACCATGGAGGTGCAAACACTTGCAGGATCCCTCGATGCTCATTTTTACCCTTCACTTTCAAAACAGGCTTTCTACTACTGAAATCATAAGGTCTACTTGAACGAGTCCAAACGCCTTAGTGATTGCATGCTCTTGAGTGACAATGGTCACTGGCTGAGCCACAAAGCAAACATGAAATGGATTGGGCTGCACTAGTTAACTCTACGTACCCGCTATAGCACTAACAACTGTTAAAGATTTTAACCAAACATTATTTGACTTCGAGAGGAGCAGCCAAATCGGGGCATTGTCCTTGTTTGCAGTCCGACCCCTTCATCACAAAAGGTCGAATTAACCGTGGTGCTATTTGCAGGATGAATTTTAACTAATTTATTTTCAGCATTCATTGGGTTTGGCGCGAACACTTAAAGTTTCGAGTAGAATCAACAAGAAGGCACCGTATTTTAGCGAGTTTCTTTGACACTGTGGGTCTATAGTGGCATGAACGGCGAATGCATGCATCAGTTCATCCTTTTCACTGTACAACAGAGATTGAGTGAGGTATAAAGCATTTTATAAAAAAAGTGTTACGATTTTACAATTGTTTAGTTATGGAGTGCATCTTAACAGGCACCTCAAATGGCAAATCCTTTTTGTGGAGCAGCATTTACCCTTCAAAAGGCTGGTGAAAGTGGTCGTCTGAGGTCTCTGTCGTACGACAAGCATCGGGCAATGGAAGAAGTGTCGGTTACACCTGACCCAATTCCCCACATAGGCGTTCTATCTCCCGGCCCTGTGAGGTCAGACTGGCCAGTTTGGTAATCCTAAAAGCTGGACAGCAGTGAGAGTTTTGTTAAATTCGACAGCTTCGGTATTAAATGATTCATCAACATGCTGACAACCTCTAATTTCTCCTATCTGCAAAACGAGCATTGCATTAAATTAGTCGGCTTAAACTTTGAACTCACTTTTGAGAGGAGATGGGAAAGTTTCTGCCACTGATTTACTACTTAGAATAGGGAATCAACTAACTTCAAGGTCAGCGATGTTAAAGCAAGGGGGCATGTTCAAGGTCAAAGTTGCAATATTATTCCAAAATCCCCCAAAAGGACATGAAATAGATCTACATGGGAAGAACCTTAACATTTTATATTCATCAGTTTAAACTGCTCTTCTCAAAGGTCCAAACGTTGTCTCGAGGTCAGTGCTATGTGTGCACAATAGCAAATCTTGGCGAATGCAAGTGAGATGCCTTGCCCTCTGCTATGACCACAAGCTGAGTCTATATTAGAGGGATGAGCACATGAGTTTCGATGGATAGAAACATATGTTACTTGTCACAATGGAAAAGGGACACAAGTATGGAAACCTTAACAGGTAGAGCATTTCGGGTTATAAGGCCTTGAATTCTGTTGTCAACACTTTAAGGTACCATTGTAGATATGGGTGATAGAATGAAAATGTTGTAGGAGCATTGCCTCGCCGACATTTAATGAATATGTTGTTGGCAGAATGGTGAAAGATCAATGGGACAGGCGGAAATCCATCCACACCCTTTCTGTATGAATGTGGCACTCAGCCGTCGGCAGTATTCAGCAAGTGACCCTGGATTTGTGCAATTAAAATGTCATTCAGCGACCGGTACTTAAGATATAAGAGAAGCTGGAGACGAATGAGGGGCCGTTCGTAATAGCCACTCTGTGACTCATAACATCAGTGACGAGTGCGTGGGGTCATTACCACCCTTTCGCCTACTTTCATTGGTGGTTCTAGAGGGGAGGAGAGTTGGATTTCTGGTCATCGTGGTCTCCCCCTTCCCCCTTCCCCACCGGTCTCGGCAACAACCGATACAATTAGGTTGGCTATCGTCTAAGGCCGTGTTGGACATGTTGGCACTTCACTCGACTTTGTAAATTGGACGCGAGGTAAGCATTCATAATCCCCTTGAGGTAATAAGGTGAAACCTCCGATTCCAAGTAAAGGACACCTTCACTTTGCAGTTTCTTCCCCACAAAGGGTTAAGAAAATTCAACTGAAGTATTTTTTTTGGGGGATCGAAACACGAACCTGTGCAGATATGCCCTTACGCTATTTCAGAAACTAAATTTCAATCGTCCATTCCATTAAGATGTGTTTAACTTGTCATTGAATAAAGGCACATAGAAATGCTGCAAATTCCATTCACTGTCAGTTATGGAACTGAAGTGCAGCCTTCCTTTCTAAAATGAACTTTAGAACGATCTTTAAAGGAACTTACATTGCCGAAACACTCGACAAGTGTAAGCACACTGAAGGGGACAAAATTGCTGTGGTATGAACCGATCATGTGAAAGGATTAGGCATATCATCAATTTGAATCCCTTGGTAAGGTATGAGGGAGATGATAGGAGGGAATGGTTTATCGGAAATCCCGTAAGAGGCAATATTTTGAGGTACCGTCGTAA